CTACTACCTACTACTACCTACTACTACCTACTACTACCTACTACTACTACTACTACCACCACCACCACCACCACCACCACCACTACTCCTGCTACTACTACTACTACTACTACTACTACCTACTGCTACCTACTGCTACCTACTACTACCTACTACTACCTAAAGCTACTTCTGCTACTACTACTACTACTTCTTCTTCTTCTTCTATACTACTACTACTACTACTACTACTACTACTACTACTACTACTACTACTACTACTACTACTACCTACTACTACCTACTACTACCTACTACTACTACTACCTACTACTACCTACTGCTACCTACTACTACCTACTACTACCTCCTACTACCTACTACCTACTACTACTACTACTACTACTACTACTACTACTATTACCACCACCACCACCACCACCACCACCACCACCACCACTACTACTACTACCTACTACCTCCTACCTACTACCTACTGCCTGCTACGTACTACCTACTGCCCGCTACCCACTGCCTACTACCTACTACTTACTACTACTGCTACTACTATTACTACCTACTACCTACCACCTACTACTACCACCTACTACTACCTACTACTACCTACTACTACACTACTACTACTACTACTACTACTGCTACGACTACTATTACCACTACTACTACTACGACTACTACGACTACTACGACTACTACTACTACTGCTACTACTACCTACTACCTACTACCTCCTACCTCCTACCTACTACCTACTACCTACTGCATACTACTGCATACTACTGCTTACTACTACTTACTACTACTTACTACTACTTACTACTACTAACTACTACTAACAACAACAACAACTACTACTACTACTACTACTGCTACTGCTACTGCTACTGCTACTGCTACTGCTACTGCTGCTGCTGCTGCTACTACTACTGCTACTGCTACTGCTACTGCTACTGCTAGTGCTGGTGCTGGTGCTAGTGCTAGCGCTACTACTACCTCCTACCTACTACCTACGGCCTGCTACCTACTACCTACTACCTACTGCCTGTTGCCTACTGCCTACTACCTACTACCTACTACTACTACTGCTACTACTGCTACGACTACTACTACTACTATTACCACTACTACTACTACTAGTACTACTACTACTACTACTACTACTACTACTCATACTCACTACCACTACCACAAAACCACTACCACTACCACCACCACCACCACTACATATCTTCTCCGTCCATGCGTCTAGCACCTTTTCTTGCTCCTGCGTCAAGATGCTTTTATGGCGTTCCATAGTGTGCCCCGCTCGAATTCGAACTCGAACTCGAACTCAAACAGTTATACAGTATTGATGAACTTAACCTTGAAAGGATATATATGGAAGGAACCGAACTCGAACTCGAACTCGATCTCGAACTCGATCTCGAACTGGAACTGGAACTGTTAGAAGTCAACCCAGTGGACGAATAGAAAGAGTCGAACTCCAAAATCGCTGTCGTCGATTCGAATTCGAATTCGAACTCGAACTCGAACTGGTCCCCCCCGGTGTCAAAATTGTCGTCGATTCGAAATTCGATCTCGAACTCGAACTGCGTTTCCCCCCCTCCGGGCATCAAAATTGTCGTCGATTGGAATTCGAACTCAAACTCGAACTAGTTCCTCCCCCGGAGTGAAAAAAGTATCGTCGATTCGAAGTCGAATTCGAACTAATGCTGCGTTGTAATGGCTCCTTCCTATTCTAAATTTCACCTTCAAATGGCCCATAACAGGAATGCTACAGTGTAATATAATGGCTCCTTCCGGCTGTAAATTTTACCCTCGGGTGGCCCACAAAAGGCATGCTACGTTGCAATGGCTTCTTCCTTTTCTAAATTTTACTTTCGAATGGCCCATCAAAGGAATGCTACGTTGTAAATCGTTGTAATGGCTCCTTCCTACTCTAAAATTTACCATCGGGTGGCTCACAAAAAGAAATGCTTCGTTGTAATGGCTCCTTCCTGTTCTAAATTTTACCCTCGAATGGTCCACAAAAGGCACGCTACGTTGCAATGGCTTCTTCCTTTTCTAAATTTTACCAACGAAAGGAATGCTACGTTGCAATGGCTTTTTGCTACTCTAAACTGTATCTGTGGCCCACAAAAGG